TGCAAAAAAAAACCCTGAACCCTAATTCCTTCCCTAGTGACCCAAAGCTCTGGGACCCCAGAGCAAGGTGAGCTCAATCATGGATATCGACCTGCCCAAAGATGTGGCAAAGGCATTGGAGAGCAACTTGCTTAAAGTGGGGTATATAGAGGATTATCTAGGGGATTATATAGGGTTATGAAGGGAATATACAGGAGATTATATAGGGTTATAAAGGGATTATATAGGGGATTATATAGGGTTATAAAGGATTATTTCGGGGATTATATAGGGTTATCAAGGGGTTCTATAGAGATATATAGGGTTTAGGGTTTAGGGCTGCTCTTTTGTGCATTCAGGGTGTCATGGGTGGGCAGGTGATCACCTGATGTCAAAAAAATGGCTCGGATCAGCCATCCAAGTCCTGTGATAGCTAGCGTTCTGACTCCAAGCGTTTTATCTCGGAACGCATTTGGGTTGTCATCCTGATGAAGAGGCCTGCAGTTGCCTGACCAAAACAAGCCCACTTCAAAGGCTCACTATCCACTGGAATGCCTGTTCCTCAGATCATTGCTTTACTCGACTTCAAATGTCCCCCGTCGTTGGCTGACGGTTTTTGAGAGAGAAACCTAACCTCCAAGAATTTAAGGAATCCTCAGGACACAGCTTCCTGATTTTTAGCAGCTATGACAATCCCTCAGCTGTATTCTGGGTTGTTGTTGCGAAACTTAAGTTAAGTTACATTAGTATGGGTATATAGTAGATAATTGGATTTCCTAATTGTACTAGCTGAAGGGTAGTCTCTTAACAGCAACCCCAGTCATCAGACAAGCCGTGCAAAACCCAACTTGCAGCCCAGGCGATCCACCTACACGCGAGGAGATTGACACTGTCGGTACGCTTGCGGAGGACGCAGAGTGCCCAGGAGGCATGTGGCAAAGCTTGCGATGTCAAGGGCCCCTCTTGCGTGCAGATTCTGGAAGCTGCTGCATGGTGTTTGCTGCTGCGACAGCGATGATGGCTACTGCCGGATAAAGCATGCTACGACTTGTGTCCCCTTGAATTCGTTTTGCAGTCTTGATGCTCGCTATAATGTTGCTGCTCCATAGCAGCCTTATCACGGGTCAATCTAGTCGAATCTAATTCCGACACCCTCGCCTCAATCATATAGCAAGCACGAACCACAAGTTTGAAATGTTCGAAGCCAGCTGAACCCTAAGAACCGTGAAGCCAGAGCAAGCAGTGAGTAGTGTTTTTCCTTGTGGAGCCTACAGTTCCCTTTTTGAGTCCGTTGGTATCTTCTTTCTCAATATAGTATGTTGCATGCAGAACACAATCTCACTTGGTTCGCCCAGCAAAAACCATTACTCCGGTAGACAGCTCAGGAACAATTATTTCATTGACTTGCACGGCGCGGGTCCCTGGCACGTAGGGTTTAGGGTGTCGAGTTTATTGGTGAGAAGCCTGCTGCACATGGGACCGACATTGGGAGGGCTGGGGCCATGGGCTACAATGTGGTAATTTCCCAAAAAAGGGGATCCCAATATGGACCCCGAAATATTATAGTCCTGATTACTGGGACCGCTACAAAGGTACCCATAATTTTGGAAACTCCAATGTCAAGACTGGCTTGGTCTTTGGCTTTCCTTCATTAGTCGCATATGCACGCTGCACTCTGACTGGCTTGAAAGGGTGGGCTGTAGGGAATGTCATTAGGATCTATTAACGAGGGCTTTTGGTGACAGCTGTACTGGCAGCAAGGGTTTGAAATTGCAACTCTGAGCCCCTAGTCTCGCAAAAGGGGCTTACTTTTTCAAGCAGGACATGAGTGTACCACTACATTGGGAGCTCCTAAAATCGCCATGCTCCAGACTGGAGTTTTTCTGAAGAGGTCACTGGTTTTCGGGTCCAAGGATTAGGTAGGGTCCGGGTTCATGGATTAGAGTACAGGCGTTCAGAAACGTTTTGCTGGTAGAGATCCCTGCCAGAGCGGGCTAAATTTGGCCTGAAGGTATACAGGGATCCTTATGGTACGTTGGGGCTACATTTGCCAGGCTGTGCAAGGCACACATGAGGAGGACCAGACAAATCAATTCCGCACCCTGAACACTGAACCCGCTTGTGCTGCCTGGGGTCAACTGGCACAAGAAGTAGTCTCACTAAGCAAGGATGGAGCTCCATGTCGGCTTTTCCAGAGAACGGCCTTTGCAGGGCCCCTTTCGTGCTGTCTTTTGGGGAGTACAGACTGAAACCCTGAATCCTAGACCCAAGGCTCTTAAGCTTCCAAATCCCAAAGCACCAAACTTCAAATCCCAAACTCTATGGTGGTACTTGCAACAAGTGGTGTACCCCCAAGAAGAGGGCCACATTTTTTTTGCAACTCCACGTACAACCCTAAACCCTCAACCCCAAGCTTACTTGGAGTTAGTAGGGAACAAAGGAATGTTATATGGGGATTATGAAGGTATTCTATTGCCTTATTCCCTACTAACCACCAGCAAGTATGCCCTGAACCCTCTAAGCCCTAAACCCTGCCCTAAACTCTACACCTTCCAACCCTAAACCTAAACTCTACGCCCCAAACCCTACACCCTAAGCCCTAAACCCGAATGATCCCAAGGCCGCAAGTATTCACGGACGGACGGCCAGCCGTTTGAGGATGGTAAGGCTCCGGAAGGCCGGCTTGGGGTTCCCTAGAACTTGGGGTTTAGGGTTTCTGGTTTGGGGTTTGGAGTTTAGGGTTTAGGGTTTGGGGTTTAGGGTTAAGGGTTTCCTCAAGCGAGGGGTGGCTTTTTAAGGCCCTGATAAGAATTTTACAAGGGTGTGCAGGTGTATTAGGGGGATTTATCGGGCTTGGGTTTTCCCAAGCTTAGTGGTCCCGTTACCGAGGTACCCACTAAGGATTATAGTACATCTTGAACTTACACTCCCGCTTAAGTAGATAGAATAGCGGGTATATGCTCATCTTATTATAATATACCCAAAGCCATATTCTATCTACTGGAGGGGTACTATAAGTGGTGCAAGATTCCTTGCATCCACCATAATTTCTGAACTTCTGTTTACAACCCGGCCAAAACCCCATGACACGACGTGCATCCTTGTTGCGTCCCGTAGTCATCCCTACGGTGGATAGGAAACAGACCCTAGGCACCCTTAACCTTGTGAATTAAGGCACTATAGTATTGTAGAAGCCCAAATATCAAGCAACAAATGATGCTGGCTCCTTGTTCAATTATGGCATCGTGTACCTAAAATAGACTCCAAAAGGATGTTGGTAGTTATTTAGGCCCCTACACCCCAGAATTCTTTCAAACGTCTATATTCTCTATGACGCCAGTTGCCATTTCATCTCCCACTACTTTCTTCTCCATTCGCTTCTCCATTATTGGGGCAATTACCCGGAGCCCGAAAACCTAAACCCACATATTCTCCTGTTGAACATCCTTGCGCGACAGGCAAGAGCTACGAAGATGGCAAAAAGCTGCACACACGGTGCCTGGTCTGCTATGGAGTGCTTGAGCTCGACATTTTAGGGTTTATGTTGGTTTAGGGTTGTTTGGGGCTGTTTGCAACGCAAACTTCTGCGGCCTGCAAGTCAAGGTGTCCGCATCCTGCCACGGCTGCACGAATGGCGGCACGTAAGGGCCTCAGATTTTTTCTTTTACATGTTCTTGCGGGAGTCTGCAGAAACCTAAAACGACAAGTCTCCTTCAGCCTCCCCCCCCCCCACTCTTCTGCGTCCCAGCTGATGTGCAAAAACCCGAACCCTCAGCCCAAATCAGGTATCCATTGGGTACTGCCCCCACCAAGTCAATCAGACTTAGATGATATATACATATATACATATTTTCTTGTTATATGAAGATCTTTAGTATATACCCTACCGCAGAATGTTACTTGGAACCCTACACCTTAAGCTACACTCCAAGGTATCCAGCAGTTGCGCGCAGAGGAGGATTCCACAGGAGGCGTGCAGAAAGTATGTCTTTCCTTACTCATGCTTAAGACGGAGTACATACATACATACATACATGCATACATACATACATACATACATATACTCATGTACATGTTACGTATCCCTTTCGTTTATAGTGTGTAATTCCCTATTCATTCCACTTTGCCTTAGCACCAGTATCCCCAATTCCTACGCCGTAGACCTTAAAATCTAACCCAAAACCTTAATCCCACCCTAAGCCCTAAGGTCTAACCCTAGACCTCAAGTTTCAAACTTAAACCCTAAACCCTAGAATCTAACCCCAAACCGTAAAACGAGGCCAATGGGGTGGTTCTTGTGTAGGAGTCCTTGGGACGACGCGTTCCCATGATTTGTGCACTGCAGAGGCCCAAAATTACCATTATTGTATGCCGGTTCTATACGTTTTAGGCATCAGTGTGCAGGATGATTAGAATTCTTTCTTACAATTATTGTCACGATTGGTATTATTCTTGTACACGGTTTAGGGTTTAGGGTATAATGGGCGCAAGAACTGAAATGGAAACTGGGTTTCGGCTTGTGGGTTACAGAGATGCCCATCAATACTTCTGGTCCTAGTAGGGTCCTTGTATAGTTATAGTATAGGGTACCTCAAGCAAACCTCAACATGACATAAACCCTCAACCTGAATCCCCTAAGTCCTAAACACTAAACCTTAACCCTAAACCCCATTATGGGGGAACATGGGGTTTCTCAAGATTGGGGAGGTCTCCCAAACCCGAGGGCCAGATGACGACACTAACATAGAATCTGAAAGAGCTTAGGGTTTTTAGGGTTTAGGGCTTTAGGGTTTAGGGCTTGAGGGTTTAGGGGTTTAGGATTCAGGGTTTTAGTGTTTAGGGTGGACTGTCCGTGTCGAAGAGACCAGAAGGATTCCATTACGATTCCTTGTGCCATCAGTGCCTTGGGGTCTTGGGCGGTGCGCTGTGCAAACCCTAAACTCTAAACCCTAAACCCTAAACCCCTAAACCCTAAACCCTAAACCCCTAAACCCCTAAACCCTAAACAAAAGTGCAATCCCGCCTCAGGATGGAAGAAACGATGTAAGCCATTGGGGGCCTCCAAGAACATCGGAGCCCACAGTATAGTCCCCCTTAAGTAGATAGAATATGGGGTATATGGGGATCTTATTATAATCTACCCAAAGCAATATTCTATCTACTTAAGGGGGACTGTAAACCTTTGTCCCTACATGTTGGCTCAAGCCAGCAGAAGGGAGACGTGCTTCAGGATGCCAATTGAAAGAAGACCAGCCATCAGTTTGCTTATAGGTGCCTAGGCACTTACAATCCTAGTCCGTTTTATCATTCCAGGTAGAAAGCCATACCTCCAACAGACCTAGAAACTTAAACCCTAAACCCTAAATCATAAACCCTAACCCCTAAACACCCCATACCCTAAACCCGAACCTTGAGCCGAAAGCCTTGATCTGGAGCTTTTGCCAGGTGTCGTGACGACTGTTGTCACAGGGATGCCCATCGGTATCGGAGAGCCTTGCTTCGACAAACTCGAGGCAGCTAGTTGTGTGCTGCAAGTCATGGGGTGTTTCGGGTCCGCACGGCATAATAGTTTCTAAACCTTGCGGGCATAGGTCTCCTTGTACGAATGCACGCAGGAGACTTTCGCTTCAGGGGGAATTTGGGATTCGGCAGAAGAAGACTTCAGCAGAAGAAGACTTCATTTTAACAGACTGACTTGTGGGCAGTGCGCATGGAGTGACCCGTTGTGGGCTCTGTGCCCTAACCTATACTACATAATACTACATAATGTCATATTATTCTATATGTAATACACTATTATATATACTATCACATTAGTTTTTTTTTCCTGCTAGTCAAACTGCAATATGACTGCAGTGACAACCGTACGATACACTTGATCTCCAATGTTTTTGATACTTGCGCTTCTTCGTCTTGC